TACTAACTCATAAAATGAGCTTGCAAATCTCTATTGTTGTAACTTGTATCTCATTAGATCTGCTGTTCAAAAAGAGGACCCACTCGCCCACAGTTTTCCAATGCAGTTTCCGATTGCCATTCTTCTCTTTCCCTGGAAGTAAGGAAGGCAGACACATTTGCCGAGGATAACTGAGAATGCCAGGGAGATCCTCTCTTGGGCAGCTTGAGCAGGCTGTGTGCTAAATGCAACTCCGAAACGACTCCTATAAATAGCCACTCATTGTCAGGGCCTAAAAAGACAAGAGTGAGTGTGCCTGGTCTGATTCGGGCCTCACTGAGTGCTCGCGTCTGGGGAGGGCTGTAAATGAATAGCTGCTCAGACTGGGGATCTGGTCGGAGCCGGCAGCAGGGTTCAGCACTTGCTGAAGGGAATCGTGCCCTGCTGCCTGGGCTGCACTATGGCGAAAATCATCTTGAGGCACCTCGTGGAGACTCCAGTGCGTTACCAGGAGGAGTTCGAAGCTCGAGGTTTAGAAGACTGCAGGCTGGATCACGCTTTGTACGCCCTGCCCGGGCCGGCCGTCGTGGACCTGAGCAAAGCCAGGGCAGCACCGCAGTTGTCGCCTGCAGAATCAGCGATGGCAGAAATGCCACCCGGAGAAGGCAAATCCCGCTTCCAGATCCTGCTGGATGTGGTCCAGTTCCTCCCCGAAGACATCATCATTCAGACCTTTGAGGGCTGGCTGCTGATCAAAGCTCAGCACGGAACCAGAATGGATGAGCACGGCTTTATCTCACGGAGCTTCACCCGGCAGTACAAACTGCCAGATGGAGTGGAAACTAAAGATTTGTCTGCCATCCTCTGTCACGATGGAATTTTGGTGGTGGAACTGAAGGCTCCATTTGGGACTAAGTGAAACTCTAGCGGTTCCTGCGCAAACCAGGAGGATGATAGCTCGGCCAGTATTCCCGCCGGAATATTTGTATCACCCGTATTTGAAATGACTTGCTATAATTTTTATGAAGATTAAAACTATATAGACAATTCCTGGTATGTTGCAGTTGTTTTTATTATTCTTATGCAGAAAATTGTTCAGGATATTTGTGCAGTAGGAGACTGTAGTTTGGTATTCGATAGTAGTGTGTCTTTATGACTCCCAGTAGTGCCAGAGGCAGTTGGTAAACCCGTGGCACAAGAACCAAACTCAGTTAAGGATTTTTTATCCACTTTATGAAAAATTTCCTATATTGCTCAAAACCAGTTGTGACTCCTTTCTCCTGGTAAGCTTTTCTTTTGGTTGTATTTTAATTAAAATGGGGCTTTAAAAATATAAAGTCTGGAGGTTAAAATGCAGTCCTTGGAAATAGGACCTGAAATCTATAATTCACTATATGATTTCCAGATATTATCAATCTTAATTTCTTAAAAAGTATGTATCTATATATATCTTATTCATTTTTTCTAAGCTACCCTGAACCCTCTCTTGAGTTTTTTAAAATTGCCTATAGTTTGTGAGTACTTACACAACATCAATACATATTTTGACTCATTAAATTAAGTTTAGACAACTAAAAAAATCAGTTAGTGAATTCACTGCTAATCCGTGCTGTTTAGAATCAACACACATTTTTGCATTTCAGAAGATGGTGAAGTGTAACTCATCTGCTTTGTGTGTCCCTGAGCTCTAAATAGCCTAGTGGCCAGTGGCCATGAGGACACTGGAGCCGGCGCAGTGTGTCTGAACTGCCCAGCACCGCTGACCACGGGTGCTTGTGTCCTCCGGAACTGCTGCTCTGTTGGCTTGTGGTCGAGACCTTGGTCAAGGTTAAGCATGTGCTTAGGATCCTTGCCTTCCACAGCTGCTCTGTGACATTCCAAAGGTTTGCTATCTCATCCTACACACACTGAATATTTCTTCGGAGGAAGTGGCTGCTTCCCTTTTACCAGCCAGGGAGTGTGAGCTGATAGCAAGGGACAGAGCTAAGAATAGGAGAGAATGCAGTGGGTGAAGACGCGGGTGAACTCAGACAGAGATGGAATCCCTGTGCTCCTCCACGGTGCTTCCGTAGCTCAGGGAGAAATCTGAGAGGCTCTTCGTTTGCTGGTTAATGAAGGTGAAAGGACTGTCTGGTTCTATACTTGCATGAGGTCTGTGCAACCATGCTAAGTAAGAAGTTTGACAAAGTATCACCGACCAGCTTTGCAGGCAACCAAGTTAACAGCAATCAATAGGATTCCAGATCTACTAATATAATTAAATCTGAGATACCAATTGTCCCTCTTTAAGTGATTACTTCCCATTGGAACAGTGTGAGACAAACGAGTGTTTTGAGAAAGGATCCCCGGCCCCCCACCCCGCCACCCCTTTGGTCTTGATCTCCAGCTCCGTGAGAGCCTGCCTCTGGGAAAGCTTAGGAAGCCATACACCTACCATGAGGAAGCACTGAGAGGAATGTTTCCTTGAAAGTTAAAATAAGCATCTCTGATTAGCATTTTTTTCTAAGGTAAAATTTAAAGGCATACATAATGCTTTTATGTAGACAACAAAAGTCATTTATTCTACTGTCATGAGATAGCTACTTCTAATATCTAGTTTATCTTAGTAGTAGTAGTAGTAGTAGTAGTAGTAGTACTGGTATTTACTACCTTTTACAAGGTTAGCATTATACTTGCATGGCATGTGTCCTGTCTATTCTGGTCATATCAGTTTCCCTTTCCATTCCCATCAATTCAAACCCATATTCTGTCCTTCCCATCCCACTTTTGGCCCAAACAGGCTGATGCCTACAGCCCATATTATTCTAGCTTCCAACGCGTCACCCTTGAGAGGCGCAGACTGGACACCAGCCATGGGAGAGCCATGGGTGAGCAGAGGGGAGAGAGGGCCAGGTGTTCCTTCCCTGCTGCGCCTGGGCCGCTTGGGCCATGGAGTCTCGGATTCCCCTGGAGATCCCATTTGTGCTAGGCTCTGGGGAGCCTTCTGCTCTTTTTCCACCTGGCTCTTTACCATTCTTTATTCTCTCTCCTCCGCCTGCTGTCTTGTAAATGGTGTCTTTGTTAAGGGATTATGTTTCCTGCTGAAACCCCAGGGCTCCACATTTTAAGCGATAAAAGAAAGGAACAAAGCAAATACATTAGTTTCTTTTACTACCTAACACTTACTTTTAATGGTTGTTTACTATTCCACCATAGGAAAACTATTATCATCTAACCTCTCTTCTGCTCTGGGTCCCAACAAGAAATGTCCTCAAACTGGAATGATATCACAGGATTTATTTATAAAGAAATTAATTATAAAAGAAAGAACAGAGTGTACAGGACCTGCAAAGGAAATTGCCATAAACAAGGAGTGGTAGTGTGCCGAGTGGTGTCTCACAGGCCAAGGGATGAGAGCAGGAAGTAGCTCTCGGAAGTCAAGAACAGGTCAGTGGGAACACCTGCTGTGAACTCTATGGGAAGGGCACAGCCAGCCTAGGGCCACCTGGGGCAGAGAGAGGCAGAGGAAGGAATACTTTCTCCTTCTAAGCTCCTACAAGGGCTCCCCACGGGGTGGGCCCAACTGGCGGCCATGGGTAAGGAGCCCTTGTGATCCAGTTCAACAACCTCCCAGTTTACAGGCACAGTGGAGAAAGGTGGAGGGTGACTTCTGCGGGTCGAAGGAACAAGAGCCGAAATGCTAATAAAATCTGTTCTGTTGTCATAGTTCTGTCTTAGAAAATCTTTTCTCCAAACTAGAGCATGAGGGCTGGAGAGATGGCTCAGTGGTCTAAAGCACCTACTTGAAACAAGCTTGGCAAAGTACAGGAACCGCGGTTCGATCCCCAGCACCACATGCCAGCCAGCCCGCCCCCTGGTGGGCTGAGCTGGCCACACACACACACAATAAATAAATGTAATAAATAAAAATAAATAAATATTAAAAAAAAAAAACAAACTAGAGCATGAGACAGAATTGGACAGCTGACTCTATCCAGGAGTTACAAGCTAAGGATGGTAAGAATGTAGAAATTGGGGGAAGAATCAACATGGTGTGATGAGGGCTACATTGGAATGAACTAAAAAGAGATTCAGAGAGTCTTTGGCAGGATATTGGCTCAGCACATGGAACCTGTCTAAGGAGACTTCTCTTCAGAGAGAGAACAAATCTGAGAGCAGCCCACACAGGAGTCTGGAGCAGCAATCTGTTTATCAGGTTCCCTACTGTATCCATTTCCCGTTAGTCAAGTGTCTACTTACAGGAAGTAGACAGTCCTGTACTTCTGAGTTGTAGCATCCAAGCCCTTAGTGGCTGCTCAGGAGACCACATGCTCCGGGTGTGACATTTCATCCGTGCTGGGAGCAGAAGGATGACTCAGCCTGGGGACAGTTCCGGGAGGAGAGCACAGGTCCAAGGATTCCATCTGGACTCCTGCCACCTGAGGAAGCTGGGCAAAGGTGCTGGCAAAAGTGGCCACAGCATAAGGGGAAGGCAGGAGATACCTTTAGAAGTGAGGGGGTGGGCAACAAGGTGCGCAGCATTTGTAACCCAGAACTACAGGTGACACCAAGTGAACAAGACACTCTTGTAGCATCTACTGTATTTATATCCTACAACACCTTCAAGTTTTATGGGCCCTGATAAGCCCTTATATTTTGACCTAATTTTTAACTCAGGTTCAAATGAATCTTCTTAAACTCATTCAAGACATTCGTAAATTATGGACCGAAGTCTAAAGTCTGCATATATAATTTATATGTTTAAGTTGGAGTCAGTGAAGATTGTGATGACTTTGTCCCATTCTTTTCCCTGAGTCCGAACTGCACGAAGGTCTTGAACCTGTCTTTGATCTATTTCTCAACCTGCTTATCCCTTAAGGTAGAAACATAGCATTGGAAATCTGGAATAGAAAATAAAAACCAAAAGGAAGAACACATTTTCAGCTAGATCTCATCACCCTTCCTACCATCAACATCACATATTTGTGCCACACTGTAAGAAGTATGTCTAAAGTGCCATGGTCATACATAAAATAATTGCTGAAAGATATCTAGCTAAATTTCTAGACCAAGATTTCCATTAGACATTAGTACATTGGCCATATTTGGCAACTAAGTGCAGTGAGCCGGCACACGGATGCTTCTCTGTGTCACCCAGAAGATTTTTTTTCCGGCTGGGTTTCTCCTGTTTGTCAAGCATATATAATTAAGTCCAGACAGTGCCTTTTAGCACTTTCTGTCTATGGGAAGACAATGCAGTGCAATGAAAGGAGTAGGAATTTCAACTGGCATATCACACTTGTGTAACTAAAGGGAACAAAAATGTACCGTCTTACTTCCTGGTAGGATGTTACTTAGCAAATAGTTATGAAACACAACTGGCTGGGACCCTTTGTGGGGAGACGGGACGAGTCTGGACATAAGGGGGGAAAATGGTCCAGACCAGGGATTTGAGATTCCTCCTTAACCTCTGATTCCCCTCAGGTTTGCTGTGGCACAGCCTCGTGTCCCTGAAATGGATTACTGTACAGCAGTTACTATTTACAATGCTCAGTGGTGAGGAAGAGGGATTTGGCAGCACCAATGCAATTATTTGTCTATTTACTTATATTTTTTCTACTTGGGGATTGAACCCAGGGCTTCCTACTGAACTATGTCACTATGTCCCCAGCCAATTTTATTTATTTTTGTTTCTGAGGTAGGGTCTTACAAGGTAATACGTGTCCCAGGCTTGGCTCCACGCTGTGATGCTTCTGCCTCGGCCTCCCAGGATGCTGGGTTTACAGATCTGTCCCCCAACACCTGGCTGACACCATCACCTGTGGAAGCCCTGTGCCTAAAGCTATGGAATGGCATCCCTTGTGTTAGTCTGTGAGCCAGTCATCATTAACAAATGATCAACAGAATCACTGGATCAGGTTATGTGTCTGTCCCTACTAATGCGATTACCTGAAAACTGCTGTTTATGTTACTTAGTGTGTCAAAAACTTATTTTACAAATCATAAATGGCCTACATCAAGTTAAGAAAAATTCCATTATTTCCTTAAGCTTATGAAGAATCCATGTTTT